ATATATATATATATATATATATATATATATATCAGTCCCAATTACTATTTAAACATACAATAATCCAAGCATTTTAACTCATTATGAATCCAATTCATGAATCTATTTTCCTCTACTCAGTAATTATTCTAATTTTTATTAATCTCAATATCTTATGATTTCGATCCCGATCTTTTGTGTAAATAATGGTATCTAACCCTTTGATAGATTAAATCTATAACTAATATACATACATACATATGGATATATGTACATGAAAGAATATCCATATCTAATTCTAGTTGCATTTATACCAAACAATTAAATGCTTTCATATGTACTATTGTATGCAAAAAGACAAACAAACAAGCTCATAATTTGAGAGCAACTTCAAATCCATTGATGGAACACAGATTGGACAAAGATAGGGTCATTAGTGGAACAAACCCTAGATTAATGGCCCCCACAATCCTTAGGTAGCTACCAAGAAATGTAGTTGCAAGGAACAACCCCCCAACATCTACTTAATTATTAATGAATAATTGGTTGATAAGGGCCACCTTTTAGTAGTATTGCAGCTAATGTCAAACCCTAGAAAGTAGCTAGCTTGGTTGATTCACAAGCAAGTAGGCCAACCCTACCGAGTACAGGACAAAGTGTACGTGATAATTAATGGTGTGGAGTCTAATAGAGTTCCACATGCACGTAAAGAAATAGGCAATGCCATTAGCTTGCATGAGGTTTAGAGAAAAGAAGGTATTCGTCAACAGGGAAAAGTTGACAAAGCAACGTCTGTAGCTCTTTATTAAAGGTTGTATACGCATGGAAAGAGTACAAAGCTTATATTATATCATTGGAGTTAGTCACGGGGATGTTAAACATCACTATTTAGTGATGATGGAGGAGTAGTGTTTGTGGACAAAGCATCCCATTCTAGAACAAACACTTTGGGGACTTTTAGGCTTGGTGGCAATGACACTTTGAGCAACACTAATTGGAGAGACTTAGTCGCGAGCGAGAGGAAGTCCTGAAATCATGCTTGTTTATGTACATTTGTGTTCATGTCATGATATTTGAGAAAATAGTGTCAAAATATAAACTAAGTTCAGCTATGCACTTGATGTATTAATGGACATAATTGAGCTAGCGATGCAATTATCCTTATCACTGTAAATGTGATGTATTCATTCCTCCAAGCATGAATATTCTTTACATCTACCTCTCATGTCAACACTCGAACCAAAATATTTTAGGTTAATTATTTCAAAAATTAAAATATTAACATAAAATAATAGACCAACGTACCTCACACAAAAATAATATTCATATGAATTAGTTGTAATGCAAAAAGTTGGGACAGTCACACTACAAATAGACACCTAGTTTTGTACGTTGATTAGATAAAGGGTTTCGATGCATTATATACTGCATGTTATAACTTTTCATGCCTCGTCTCATCATCACCTCCTATGAACTCGTGGCTCTATTTGGCCTCCGGCTCTTAGAGACTTCACCAAGTTCCCTAGATGCGTTGCGGCTTCCTGCCATTGCCATGCATCAAAGTTTTGTCCCCTCCAAAATCTTCTGGCTTTGCTCACGAGATTGGTGCCACTGTTACCCTGATTGGTCGCCTCCTTAGGGCACTTCAGTGCTCCAAGATAGGCTTCCATGTCGTGAACATGTACAGGGTTGTTCATCTTGAAGAAGTCCAGTGCTACCTCGACTCCAACATGAGCATAACATGGGAGCTCGTATTTCTCCGCTACTGCACGCATGCGCTCATTTAGCAAAACGCCGGGCATCTTCGTGATGGGGTCGTTCACGTTCACCACCCTCAACACCTTCACGCCGAGCTCCTCGCACCTCTCCTCGAATCCCAGATTGCCGACCCTCGGACCTCCAAACGAGTACACCGCGATCGGTGTCGCCTGGTTCAGGCCGAGCTCCGCGAGGTCGTAGCCGAACAGCACGGCTAGGGAGCTCCCCATGCTGTGTCCGGCCAATGTGATGCTTAGGTAGTCGTCTTTGTACGTGTTGATGATGCGTGATACCTCCGCCAACATCTGCTCTCTGCAGCTCCCGCTGCTGAACCTGCTGCTGCTGTCGTATGAGGTGTAGAGGCTGAGGAAGCCGGACTCGACCTTCACGCCGGGGCGGGGGTCGTTGGGGTCCAGACGCGCCGGCGTGAGCGCGCTCATGAAGTTTGCGATCCACTCGGCGTGGGTGACGGTGCCCCGCAGGGCGACGAGGATGTCCCTCCGCCCGAGCCTCCTGACCTCGTCGTCCGACGAAACCGCTGTGTAGCCGATCCACCGGCTGCGACAAGTACTGCCGTTCTGGGTGGGGAAGCTGATGTCGGGAGTGGCGTAGATGTACTTGGTGATCTCGTAGCCCGTCGACCCCATGCCGACCTCCGGGAGCAGGCTCTTCTTCCCGTACTTGCAGTTCAAGTACCGCTTCGATCTGGGATCCAGGTCGAAGGCCTTGTAGCACGCGACGACGAACTCCCCGTACCTCACGATCTCGTCGCGGAGGAGGGGGTTGAGGGGCTCGACCAGGCCATCCCAGTTATCCGATCCTTGGATCTCCCTCCACATGCGGCCGAGCGAGGGCCTGCACTCCGCAACCACGGCGCGCCTAGCTGCGACCTTCTGCACGCCCACCGGCGACGTTCTACGTCGAAACGCAACCCCATACAAGGCCGGTGCCCGAGAAGGGCGGCAGCAGAATTCATGCACGGTGATGCTCTGTTTCGACACCTGCACCGAAGATGCCATGTCGAACACAGCGCAGCATATATGCTCATATACCGCTATAGATGAATCAACGAAGAAGCAGAAGAAGAAGAAGAAGAAGAAGAAGAAGAAGCCAGCAGAACCATGTCGATGCAGAAGATGATGGGGGAGGTATTTATACTTGCGTTCGACGTTCTTAGTGGACATGGCACAATCACCTCCATGGTCACTGACAAGCACAATTATAGTATGTAAGGGATGTTCCCATTGGCCTCTCTTAAAAAAGCAAGCTTTGCAGAGAAAGAGATAGATGAGTAAAGATGCGAGCAGACCAAACTTTGCTTCTAGAGATGGATCTTTGTTGGACAAGCCGGGGTGAGTTCTACGTGGTGCATGTTTTGCGAGGGCTTTGACCGAGGAACATAACACAGGGATGGCACCGAGCCCGGTTAATTTAACTGGTCGGTCGAGTGCGCTGGGACGCTGTTCGCTGGACTCCCAACACTGCAAGCCGCGGTAAAGTATGTGATGCATGCAGCTAAAAAAATACTCCCAAGCAGAACTGTAAAGCAGCTTTAATACCTTTGGCCGTCTTCGAGCAGACATTTATATGCCCCCCTACAACTTGAACACATGAAACATACCCCGAGAGAGTCGCTTGCGAGCAAGGGTTTCTTAGCTTTGACCGTGAAGGGATGCCACATAGGACAAAGAGCGATGGTTGAGCGAGTGACGTGGAGGGGTTGACTTGATGCCCGTGTAAATGCGGTTCTTTGGTTGACGGATTCCACGTCGTATTTTGTACTCACCTCTCATTTGCCGCGTGTCTCTCGTGCGACTTTTGGCGCCGCTACTGATGCGTGAATCTGATCACACGTCATGTGTTTTGGTGACGGCGGCCACCGTCCTCGAGTTGTAGCCCGATAGAGAATAACAATAGACTACACGCATCTCAAAGCACACATGGATATGATCGACGGACTCGATACATCTGTAAAATATCTTCTATTTAAGCACCTTTTATAAATATCTCATATATATATATATATATATATATATATATATATATATATATATATATATATATATATA